GTGTCGCAATACTCTTCTTCTTCTCCCTAGCGTTAGTCCCGCGCAGTCGCAGGGTCCGCTGCTCTACGTGTCGCAATACTCTTCTTCTTCTCCCTAGCGTTAGTCCCGCGCAGTCGCAGGGTCCGCTGCTCTACGTGTCGCAATACCCCTGAAGGCAACTTTCTATTCAATTAATATGTAGTCCAGGACAAATTTCGAATAAAATCGGGCTCAGTATTTGAGGAGTGGGGAAGTAAAGGGTAATTAGTTCCATTTGTCTTATATATCTTGATGAGATGTGGGCTTGACGGTGCTTGCATCAAAGCTCTTCTGTACGCCATCATTTATCTCGCAATAAAGCTCCAGTCAAACTCAACCAAGCGAGTGGAGACTGTACTTCTTTCAACTTTTTGAGTTATCATCCTTTTCTTCTCCATCACTATGCAGTGCTGCATTTATTTAAACATGTGACCGAGCTCACCAAGCTCGTACTTCTCCAGACGTCTCGGTCAGGGTAATGTTTCTTGCTTCACACATTCCACGACTGCGGAATGGCTTTGTAAAGTGGGATTCTAAACGAAGCTGTATAGGTTGCCTCATCACTGACTAATGGGCGAAAAAAGCGGCTGAAGAAGATATTGAAGGCTTTCCCTGCAGTTCATTTTGACTACAAGGTTACGAGCACTAAGCTTTAAGGGGAGGGAGGACAAGGTGACGAGACTCAAGATGCGGTAGTGTTTTTATTCTCTCCGAGCTCCTTCCCTCTTCTAGGATTAGTCATAAAGGATTCCCCGTGTTTTGCGACCGGGCTAGAAATATACGTTTGATGTTCAAAGAGTTTCGACGGCGCAGATCGGTGCGATGGTGTAAGATAATATGCTAAGAGAAGACCAATATAATGAAATGCGCTTATCTTTGGGTTTATTCTCGCAGATTTATGAGTATTCATGTCATTATTTGTAAGGCGGCGATCTTGGGCCATTTCCTATTGCAAGTGCGTTGCTCCGCTCTCCTTCATGCTGAGAGAACCTAATAGTGAACATCATGTGGACCAATTAGCTGAAATAGCTCTTGTATTCTTTCTTGCTGTTGCTCTACTGTAGTTCCATCGAGGCCTTTCCCTGTGCGATTACCCGAATATCACGATGAATCTGATCCCGTTCCGACTTTCTCTAATCGCGCTCCACCTGATCCGTCCCATTGATTGCGCTGTGGCGTGGTGGACCGTAAATGTTTCGGAATCATCACTCGATCCATTTGCGGTTCCCATATTTCTGGCGTTTTTTCTGCGTGTCGTCGTTCGATCTATTGGAAATCCTCTCATTAGTGTAGTTGCAAATGTGGTGGTTATTTGATTTCCCAACACCATCCCCTTCCCTCTATGACGTGTTCCTATTAGCGTTGAATTTACTAAAACTAGCAACCTCAGCACATAAATATTTGAAGGGACGTGTTGAGGGGTCAATGGGAGGGCAGATGGGGAGAATGACGAGCATTCAATGTTTTGGGTTAAATTGGTGTACTGGCAAATGGCGCTGCTTACCACGCGAGCGGTCCAGGGATCAAATCCTGGGTCGTGAGTCGCCCGGGCCAACCAAGCCTTCCATCCCTCCGGGGTCGGTTAATTGGTACCAGACTTGTCTGGGAGGATAAAAACACTGACTTGTACATCGGCTGGCCCCCGCAAGTCATTGTATAGGCCACATCGCATTCAAACGCCACTACGAATGTACAAATGGAAGTAGAATGCGTGCCGCATCCCAAAAAGGGATTGATCAACGGCAAATGCTTTATCCTTTTTCATCCGAAGCGCTATAAAACTGCATCTGAGTCCGTTAGGACGCTTTTAACGCAACAGTGTTTTCACCGCAAGACCGACGAATTTGTCCTCTTGCAGTCAATTTCAAGATGTGAGGGTAATGGCACATTGGTTAATGCAATTATTGAACAGTTTGTTTGCTCTGAGTCATGCCTTGTCGAGCGCCATTGGGCGCAGTCGTTGTGGCGAATGGCTCCGGCATGTCCTAATGTGGCAGTTAGGCCACAGTTACAGTCTAGTCATACCGTTCGATCGCAGAACCGAGTGTGGGCTAGGCACTCACTGATCGTGCGGTCGCAACGATCGAAAGAGTTGGATGATCGGACAATTCATACTTACCTACTCCGCGCTCGCTTTAGCAATTAGATAATCGCTCCAACTAAGTTATAAATGTGGTCTTAGACTTCACTTTGGAGGTGGTTCTTTTCTTTAAGTCGAAGTTAATAGAACTTTTGGCCATTAGTCGCCCATAATGCTGTGCTAGTTGAGTCTATTCATTCTTGACTCTGTTTCTAACGACCACTTCTCTTTTACGTTTGGGAACACCACTTGAAGACTTGTTTCGTCACCTTCGGCAGAAGGTCTTGTACGTCTTTTTCTCTCTGCTAGTCATCCGATTGGAATTTGTGGCATCACTCATCGCTTTTGTATATGCCTTCTCATTTAAATGAATGTTCTTTTTCAGTCACATGCCGGAGCCTTCCTCACGGGATCAAGTATGTATTAGTAGTCGATCACTAGGAATGGTTCTTCTGTTACTGGTTAATGTGCTTTGGGTACTTTCCTCAGAACTAACAAGAGTAAGTTTATGCTTGTTTATTTTGCAGTCTTATCCCTTTATTGTTTTTTTTTGTTTGATTTTTTTTATCGAAACGATTGCCTATCCACTATTTGTTAACATGTTGACGACAACATGATTTGTATGCGTATCAGTTTCTTACGACCATTTTGACATCCTACATCCTCTATTTTTAATTCGAATTTTAGTTTGCTTTCTTATCATAAGCAACTTAATGCAGACAATAATCAAATGTCTGGCGCGAGTTCTATACGAAATTTTCATTTTCCTTCAGACTTAGACTTTCTCCTTGAAATTGACATGTATTGCAAAAGTGTAATAGAGGATGCAATTTGCATTTTAATTGAAGCAATCAAGCCAAAGTGATTTGATATTTAGTGCAGCGAGTGCTGACGAGTTTTTTTTTGTTCAAAATTAGACCAATTAAGCTTCTCGATCCGATTGCGCTTCAACGTTGATCCACTGCCAAAGAGCTATCAATTTGTCAGCAATTTCAATCATTTTATGCTTCTACTTTCGATTGCTGATAAGCTTTTTTTGAGCAGATAATTATTGTTGAAGTCTTTGTACACTTTTTTGTGCGCTTCATAATAACATATGGAATCCTAGTTCCGTTACCCTCGTTCACTTTCAAGTTACACAAAACACTTCATTTACGTCGTGGTTCGCATGCGAATCAAGCGAGTCATTGCGAAAATGGAAATGAAAGCTGTCGTTAACTTGTTAACATTAGAAAGTTTTTCAGTTGGTAACATTTTGTTGGTTTGTTCGTTTTTGTCTTTTGTAAGTATCATATTTTTTCCTATTTGAACATTTGTTTATTTATACGCTTTTCCAGTTTATATTCATCGACGAGGATTTTAAACGACCGTTCTTTACCGCTTATGTGAAAACATGTATGCTTACTGTATATATGGTGCGATATTTGGTGTTTGAAAAGCCAGAACAGGTGTGTTCATTGTGTATTTGGAGCCTCTTCTCGTATTGTAGTAATCTTTGATTCCTGTGATAGCGTGTATGTCTCGTGTGGAATATTATCCCCTATGATTGCTGTGATGTCCAGCATTTTCTTGGGTTTAGGATAGTTTCTAGAGAAGCACTGAGTGTGAAGGCGCAAAAAATGGTGTTGATGCTCCAACAAAAAGACTATGAAAATTTAGGTTCTGAGTTGTATAGGTGCAGCGGCGATAGAGGTGCCCTCCTGCATTGCACTTTAATATCCCCGTTCAAAGTCTTCCATTCATAACGATATGGCCAACAGCACCCGTTTGTAAGGCTTGAATGGGCCAATTTCGTCCTTGGGGTAAGGAATGGAAGTCACATGCGGGGCGTGTCTTGTTCTTTCAAATTCATTCCTTTCTTTTACTCTGCATGGTACTTGGCATCAAATCCTAAATTGTGCATTCAAGACTATGACCTGCCTAGTGCCTTTCGTCTCACTGTTTGACTAGTTGTTTTTCTCCTCTACTTCAATATGTTATGTCAATTTTTCCCAAAGATGAAGGTAGTGTCACCAGTCAATCGAGTCTTACCATTAGTCCTTGAATAACAAGCTGGTGCACCATCCGGTGGTTTGGCCAAATAGTCTCTAGTCTCTCCCCAAATTCCTCGCTCGTGCTCTGGTTTTGTAATGGGAAGGTGTTTGCTTATTAACGTTCTGTTCGAAATACGCTGCCGACAGTTGGGCCATCCCACACCACCGTGGTCGAGATTCGTGCTTGTTGACGTCGGCGTCTAATCAGTGTAACGTGTACGGAATCGCTTCATGCAGTCCCCGTTCTCTAAATGTTTTAGCACGTGTACAAAGTTCTCGAAAATGAGCTCTCCGATTGCGAATCGATTGACATGGGTGGTCATAGCTTGGTGAGTTTGGTTGCTCGTGCATGCTTATATCTTCACTTTTTTGTTCTCTTTTTTCTCACCCACTTGTCGACCCTTTCACCCCTACCTGTAGTGGAGAGTGCTTTTATTGCGTGACTACCGAAAATAGAAATCATTTTGA